GCTTTCTATCTACTAGAGGAATTATTGTTGGAAGCTATCAAATATTGGGATAAAGAGCATGTTACACTGAGACAAACCACAGGGATTCATCTCCATGTGCATGTTTCAAAGTGCTTACACAGAAAGGTATTGCCTGCTTTATAATATAACAATAGATTAAAAAAGACTTTTCATTCACAAATTTCAAAATAAATTTAAGGTAGAAAACTTTGCAGACTATATTTTATCTGACATCGTAATTTTAAATGGTTATTTTTTTACTTCTACAGAAATAAAAAAACTAAAAGTAAAAATAAAATTATTGCGGTAAGAATTCAGAAATCATTCGTATCTTTTGGTATTTGAACTGATGCAAATTATCAATGAAAATAAAGAAAGGTGAAACTTGTAGGAATTAACTTTAGTCTATTTTGTAAACAGTTTGCTCTCCCTGAGTAAATCATAACTTCCCACACCTGCACTTGTGTGTGCTGGTCCAGCTCTGTGATATGACAACCAGAACTTGAACTGGAAAGAACACAAATGAGTACAACAAATGAGTAACAGTTTCTAGCTTACTGACAGTTTTGGTTCAAGCTACCACTGCCAGCACAAAAATGCAGATCTTGATTTTCAAAGTCAGTGTCTATATTCCCTGTGGCATAAAAACTTGGATTATATTTTGAAAAAAAGCATATAGATCACAAAACATAAGGTAGTTACCTAAACATTAATTTGATATTTTGAATATAATTTAGTAAGTATTCAAACTCTACTTTGTTTAAATTCTGACCAAAGAAATCAAAGACAGCCAGTGTTTCATATGACCTAATCACAATACTCCTTTACACAACCTGCTCCTAATATAAAGTAAATCTGGGTAAAGATTTATTTGTGGACTTCAAGCATTTTCTGCCCTAAGTGTGTTAATTGAGAGACTGTTTCTTCAGTGATCTAGAAGAATGAAAAAAACAAGAGAGGAAAGTATATTTGCTGACTTTAAACAAATTATGTGTTTGTAGAAGCAGGATAATCGTGTACTTGAAAATGAATCTTGAGTATATTTATTTCCCATTCTGTAGTCTTGTGCTACTGCATTTGCAGCAAGGAAAGTACCACAATTACTTAACTAAGTTGATCCACACTCAAGGAAATTTAAGAGGTGGATTATACTATTTGGGCATTTGAACTTAACATACCGTGTTGTTGATTGTCTAAACCAATAATTAATTCTCCACATACAAGAGGTAAACAGGTGCCACTTGCTGACACTTGTTTTCATCTGCACGAGTATTAGAACACTCTCCCACATCACAGAATTATGATAAAGAATGAATGTCAAATCATCATAATCAGTGTCAGTGTAAATATCCTGAATATACAATAGATCTCTGAAAATGGTGGAGGAAATGCGAAGCAGTTATCACTTACAGGTGAGTGCTGGACCTCCAGAAATTGAGAGTTCATTTAAATCTAACTGAAATAGTAGCTCTAATTTCTAAACCAAATTTGAAGCTCTTTAGGCACGATGCCATAGAGAGACTCCTTGACAGTCCATTCAAGTACTACAGCAGAGGATTTTCCAAGCAGATCATATGTTGCTGAGTATGAAAGTTCAGAAGCTTGGGCATTTGAATGCTGCAAAAATGGAGATTATATGTGAAGATAAAGTCTAAACCACAAGGAGTGTGGTGGTATTAATGAAGAAACTAAGGAGTACTTAGGAGAAAGCTAACTTAGCTGCCAACTGCCCTGCCCTAGTCCAGTAACCGTTTGTTGATACTGATTTTAAGATTCCGTTTTTAGCTTGACTCATATTGACACTAATCATCATTATGTTTACTCTGTGTTGTTCCCAAAAGCAGCTGTGGTAAACTAGCAATTTTCAACATGGCAAATGCTTTTTCACACATGGAACTTAGGTTCTCTTCCAAGAGGAAAAGTGAATACATCGCTTCCAGATGAGGAAGGAAAAGGGTGAAGTGGACAGATTTTGTAGATTCTTCTCCACTGGTAACCAAACGTATTTTTATATATATATATTCAACAACAAAGCAAAATTTTAAAATGTTGCATTTATTTTTGGAGGATGAGCATGAGAATGACAAACTTCATAAGGTTTAACTCTAAAAGAAAATCTTGTAATAGTTTTGCCTTATAGCTGTGTCAGCCCCCAAATAACTCTGCTCATAAAAACAGACGTTCTCCACTGAGTCACATATTTTCAGTTCTGATAGTTTCCTCCTCCTCCACTAGATCAGGTTCAGACAATGGAAATGCTTTTCAGTATTGATAGAGACAGCAGCCTGGCAATGCTAATTCCACCTACATGTGATAAATGACTTTTCTACCCTCAGTTCTTTTAAGTTGAGGAAAATACAACAGTTAGAGGTGAAAAACTAGTATGTAGCTATACACAACAGTTATGACTTGCTAGATACCACAAGCAGATGTTGCACATTTAGGCTCCTATCTGACAGCGCAGACATACCCGTATAGAAATAACACACTGTGTTTCTGGTGACTTTGAAGGCTCAAGAAGCATAACTTTTTCACAGTTCTAACATACTGAATCAACTTCTGAAAGGAAACAAACTTTTGGATTGTTAAACATATATGGATGATCTAACATCTCAGTAGATAATGTCTACATCTGAATGTTAGTATAAGCATGATGGAAAAAGCTGTGATACAGATTATGAAAAGTGATTAGGAAATTCTGTAGTAGCCTAATCTAGCAAATTTTCATGACCATCGGTCTGGGCAACACACCTTTCATCTCAATGGGACACAATGCGGCAAGGCACCGACCATTCTCAAGGACAACTGAAATCCAAAGTTTAGTCCAAAACTGAAGATGGACTTCCTCAGAGTATAGTTATAGTGACTCATAGATTTGCAGATTTATTAGTGAAATGCTTCTTACTATTATTCTCTAGTGGCAGGTTTTCTAGCTCCTTTCTCCCCTGGTTCATGTACATAGTTTGTTCACATCCATTCATGGAGTTGCACTTTGGTTTTCATTTGCAGTAAATAGAGTCTGAACACAAACAGCCCTGGTTTGCATTCCAGAACTTGTCTGACAGACTTGCTTACAAAGTACTGTTACTAAGACTAGCCTTCTTATCTAACAGAGTGCTGACAGTTAGAGACGGGAATGAGGAAGTGGCAAGTGCGACTCCCTATTCTGACATGTAGCACAGACTTGATCATGTATCTCCTTCTGCATCACTTAAAATTGTCAATGAATTCAAACTCAGAGCAGCTATTTGTAGTACTAGATACGCACTACTATTTCTTAAAAATTGCATGGGTTTTATTAACAGAAAATATTTTCTAATGCAAGTGACACAAGTAGTTTCAATTTGATTTTTTTTTTTTCATTTTTCAGTTTTCATTTATCTATAAAAGAGAAAATAACACCTCCTCTGATGATATCGTTTACAGTCTAGAATAGAAGAATTATAGGGTGAAATTCCATCATCAAAGTATCCATTTATACCTGGAAAATATCTGTAAGAAGTGCAACATAATCACTTTCTTCCCTCACACTTTATAAACATAAATAAACCTAGATTTCTTTAACTAGTAGGACACTAGACTGTGCTTGGACCTTTCAGTGAGTGAAGATGTCTATGGTTCTTTAAAAAAAAAAAAATAGCCACAACTAAACTGTGCCCCAGAAATCTCGTATCAGTTTTTCTATATGTGAGCTACAGAAGACAATCATATGGGGAAGAAAGATGGGAAAACAGCAAGCCCATTACCCACCCACTTCAAAATAGCACAAAGTCCAGCTATTAGCCATCTGGTCTTCAGAAAACAAGTATATTTGCTGTGAGGATTATTGAGATCATAAAGCATATTTTAACATTCAGATATATTTGTCCTGGTTGCTCTCTAATAATTTCATTACTTACAGTAAACCTCTCTAAATATATTTGTAAATGATACTCTATGGCTGATATTGTGGTAAACTGTCATTGATGCCATACTGAGTTTATGGAGATGCTGGTAAAAATGCAAAGCCATCTTCAATTATTCAGAAAGGTCATTTCAGAATATTTTGTGTGGGTTTCTCTAAAATTGTTCCTAGCTAGTACAGAATTAAGACATGCATTCGAATGTATAATAATAAGCAAATTTCTTATTTCTGCTAGTATTTCTGTCTTTTTATAATACTAAGCAAATGCAGAACTACTCTTTACTTGTAACCTCTATTTATACACAGGAAATTATATATTGTTATATATAATGGCCTTTAAAAAAAGGTTAGTTGAGTTTTGAAGTATCATTCTTAAGATATGAGATGGTTACTATTGCTCTGCTAAACAATTTCCAAAATTGTTTTCGTCGACAGTAGTGACACAATGATCACTAGTATATCTGTATCACCAGAGACTTGTTTTATCATGTTGCTGAATAATCCTGCTCAGAGTTAATGTAACGTGCCTGATAACTATCATGAAGAACTGGTCTGTTTAAACCTCATAATTTTGATCTCATAGTGGCTAAACACCCGAAGTAAACAGAGCTTCGCAGAACTTTGTCATGAAAAAAATGAAGGTGAGTCAATAGAGGAATAGTATTCTAAAACACATCCACTCTTTCGGGACTTGTGTTATACATATTGTTGCCGTATGAGCAGTTGTTCCATGTGGATAAAGACTGACAAGAATTTCAAAATCAGCCATTTCACATTTTGAAAAGAGCTGCTTAGTCAAACTTTACCCAAGGCCTCCCTGCTCTCATAAATTCGCACAAATAGGAACTAGAGCCCTTAGCTTTAATGTGACTACTTACGGGATTAAACTGTGTTACATGTGAGGACTGAATTATCCACCTCTTTGCTGTCAATTTGTCCTGAGCAGCATATCTCAAAAGCAATGAAATCACAACTACAAAGAACACAATCAGTGGCAGCCCATTTATGTAGCTAAAATAGATGCATGAAAGCTTACCCACAGAAATAAGTACTGCAGCCTGGACCTTTTTTCCTCCTAAACTGTTTTTGGGTGGACTGTAACTTCAGCTAGCATTGGAGCTTTGAATCCTCAGTATTTGTATTATAGAACATTATGTGTACATATCTATGTGCCTACACACAGTTCTCATGACAAATCGGAAGCCGCAATTCACTACTGTCTTGCAAAGAAAAATATTTTTCCCTGAGCAAGCTTGAAAGAGCAAAACTAAAGGTATGTGCCTAAATGTCTAATAATACATTTGATAACTTCAGCATGAAAACCAGATATCATTTGGGAGCATAATACATTTAACAGCTACTACATAGCCCTTGAAAGTGAACATCAGAATACTTTGATTGCAGGTTAAAACCACAGAAAGAAGCTCACAGGAAGAAAAATCTTCCATGAAAATTTGCTATTTTCACTTTATCTGCATTCATCAGACCCCATCAAACAAAGCTATTTTCTACCAGTCTAAAAGTAAGTATTATGATAACTTTATTTTTTTTACCTAGAAATGCAGTTAGATTCTTTTGCTACCTGTCAAATTGACCCTACATTGATAGGGATGTACAGGCAAGAGAAAGTAAAAAGGACAAGAATCGCATGCCTGTACTCCGAGCACATAAAATGCTTTCCACACAATGTTCTACTCTTCTGTTAAGATGTTCTCTGTTCTACAATGTGAATTCTGTTAAACAGTTTGTAAAATTTTAATTAAAAAATGCTATAAAACTCTTAACATTTGCTTTGGTAAAAAGGACTTTTCAGGGAAAGTCTTGAAGAAACAAATCATTCCCTCAATAAACAAAATAATTCATCCATTAGCCCACCGGCTAAGTCAACATAGTCACGGTGACTGCTCACACATGTTGATTCAGAGGAAAGCAACTCTTCTGATTTTCTAGGGAGTACAGTAGAGAGGAACAGTCATTCCCCTGCGTCCAGAAATGTACTGCTGTCATCTCAACAATGCTTTTTAATTTCTTGAAGGTCTCATAAATACGGCCCATTTCTTCCTTCCGTTACCTTGGCTGTCCTCCATGGTTTATCTGGAGTGGTCAGGAAATAACTTAGAAAACTTCAACTCAGAAAGTTTACAGAACATTGTAATAAAATATGAATATTTTGTATTTGTTCAAACTGATGCTTAGCAATACCAAGTAGGTTTACACAGACTGCATTTCTTTTTTACAAAAAAAAATGTGTACAACATCTTGTGTTACTATGATTTGATTTTTTTTCTCTTTTTAACTAGAGATCTCCAATAATTTTTTTTTTTTCACTGAAATCTGGGAACATAGAATGACTTTTATTTTCCTACTTTTTAAATTTTACATGGAATATTTGCTTCTGCACTTGAAGCAATCCTATATAATGTAATTGTCTGTATACATAAGTACTGTGATCTAGAAAATGGTGGCAGATTTGAAGAATAATATTTCATCTAAATATTGCTTACTCTCTAGCAAAGGTTGCTGTTCCATATTTTACCAGAATATTTCTCACAGTCCTGTATCACTCGGAGAGCAGACAGGTGATGAGAAAATAGTATCACGTTATGAATTTTTATTAGCTTTAGGCATACAGATTAAATATTTATTTAAACATGCAAAAAATTAGATCTTTTTGATACCAAGTTGTTTGGTTAAAATATAGTTAATAATTCAGAGATCAAGGCTGATACGAAACATACCCAAATAATTTCACATTATATTTATTTTCAGGAGAAAATGACATATTACAACATTTACTTTTCTTCTGCACTAGAATTGACACTGAAATGCAGACCCCTTCTGTGATACAGAAATATACAAGAGCTTCCAGCTCAGATGTGGTTAAGCCTTTTTGTTTTATCTCAACATTAAATAGTATTCACCTTCCATTGTACCTCATATAGACTGAAATTTGGATGCTTCGTACTTGTCTTTTTTCTATTATTGCCTAGCTGAGATTACTTTTCAAGAGACGCAATAGTTTTCCTAGTATGAAAATTACACTGTACGTGACAGACACATATGTCAGGAAGCAGCCAGGGCCAGCTGCTCCCTAAGGGACTGGGAGGGAGCCAGGAGCCGAGGATGGCTCCAGCACAGACAGTGCCCTCAACAACAGGGCACAGATCTGCAGGATGTAAACCCAGTGGGCAGAGTCTGGTGCTGGTAACAAGATCCATTGGCTATTCCAAATAGGACAAGTGGTGAACCAGGTCCAGGTCCAAACAAAGTCCAGTCAGAAGCAAAGGGAATTGAGGTCTGAGACAACTGGCAGCAGGGTTGTGACACAGGTCCAAAGTCTATCCAGGAGACACAGCCAAAGACAGTTCCAGATAAAAAAGCTGCAAATTCACAGAATCACAGAATTGTCTAGGTTGGAAAAGACCTTGATCGTCTAATCCAACCACTGACCTAACGTTGACAGTTCCCAACTACACCAGATCCCTAAGCACTATGTTGACTCTGCTCTTAAACCCCTCCAGGGATGAGGACCCCCACCACCTCCCTGGGCAGCCCATTCCAACACCTGACAACCCCTTCTGGAAAGAAATGCTTCCTAATATCTAGTCGAAACCTTCCCTGGTGCAACTTAAGGCTAGTACCTCTTGTCCTATCGCTTATTACTTGGTTAAAGAGCCTCATCCCCAGTTCTCTGCAACAAATTACATCCGAGGAGTCAGTCCAGGAGCTGAGGTAACTTATGATACATATATGAGGTCCACCAAGGAGGCAGTACCAGAGACAGGACTGAAAATAAGAGCATCTATAATGTAGCTCAAATAAGGACTAAAGGTGAAGGGTTAAGCTTAAATGGAGCCTCAGGCCCAAGGGCAGGGTCTGGGTAGGAGCCCCAGGTGAGGCCTGTCAGGGCCACTATTTATGCATTCAGGTTCCTGATACATTAAATCCAATTTTAAAGAGAGCGAGCTGTGATAAAATTGAACCATGTTCTCTGTAACATAGGTATGGTTGCTCAAATTGTTTGCTGTCTTTGAAGACAAGTGTGTAAATCACATTTTGTGAGATAGCTTGAAATATGCATTTGATTAGAGATATTTGTGTGAATTTATGTGGATTAATAAACTTTCATTCCAAAAGCACTTAGAAGAATCAGATACATGTTTATTCATTGTATCTGGCACTCTAACTTATACAATTTTCCCATTTTTAGAGCATGTTTCTTTAATGTCTTCTATGATTGCAATTAGATCAGTACCTAGAGGAAATGTATGCACTTAGAAATTGATTGAACCCACTATTAATAGTGCTTTTTGGATTCTGTACTAGATAGCAAAGAGTCAGATGCAACACAAAATGTTATTATAATTGAGCATTAATGCAAAGAGTAAGAAAAAAAATCAAATAAGATTATCAGACCATGGATGCATTATCTCACTTGGACTAATACAAGAAATAACCATGCAAAACAAGGAATTGTATTCATAGATTGTCTTTATATTTCAACAACAAAATATATAGCAGTTGATACTCTCAGAAAATATAATTTCTACAAATTGTGCACCACTGAAAGTGTAGCTAAATATTTTGAACAGCGTATCTGAGAAAAAGTATATTGACCATTATAAATGTTCATTAAAATGTGATGTTTTAATGTTAGAATGTTTAAAGATACTTTCACATGTCTGAAGGGTTTGCATGTCTGTGTGTCTGGCATTAAAGCTACTTATACTCTATTGATGTTGTTTCACACATCTAATAGAGTTACTGTAAATCACTGATCCGTGCACTCCATGATTGGTATAGAACAACTCTTCACATTGCTTGACTATTTCTTGACTGAACTACTTAATATCACCATAATATTTGTTGTTTCCACACAGAGCTATGGACTGAAGATCCGTTCCATTCACATAATCTATAACATTATTTTTACCTTGTCAGGTACCTCTGCAGAATCATTCAACATCTCTTGACAATAGTCCTTAAGATTCTGACTATTCAAAAGGAAGCAGTCCTGGCTAACAATTACAGCAGACCCCAAAATAACAAATATTTCATAGGTCAAGCCTCCTTACCACACCCCTGCCCCTACAAACAACAGGGCACGTGTATTCAATTCCTTCTGAAGTAGTAAGCTTCAAAGAGTAAATGGGACGTGCACCGACCAGTAGGCAGCTGAGCGAGTTGCCAAAAGTGTGCCTAAGCACAGCAAAAATGTGCTCATTACACAGAATAGTGTATTACACTTGATGTTTCAGGCTAACAAAGTAAAACATTGAAGCACACAAATGCTCATATTCTCTCCCTCTCGTGCTGTCTGAGCAGCTGCCTTCGGTGGGTATCAGGTTGTCTGCAAGGGCTAATATTCTTACCTACATCTCCCTGTCTACAGCCTAGAGTAAGGGCCACATTCTCAGCAGAGACATTGAACTGTCAGTGCTTTCAACTAAAATGGTTTGTGGATGAAAAAATACTTGTGTCCATCCCGCAATAAAAGTCTACATTAGATAACAATCATAAATTACAAATTTATATGGTTCCAGTGTCTTTTTTTCTTTAAGTAAGCTGACTCTGACCATTTCCATTTCTATTTCCTGCTCCTGCCACTCAGTCCTACCTCCTAATTATTGTGGGATACCTTCTAGAAATAATAGTTTCATAGTTAGCATAAGAGTACGGGCTTGCCTGCCACCATGGTCATGACAGTGACAGAATTAGTGAATTAGGCCTACAAAGGAGACTGTAAACCAGCTTGTATATGAATCTTACACTGCCTGAAGTCAGAACACGCAATCTGTAGTCTCATAGCTGTATCTGTTGCAGCAGTAACTGTTAGACAAAACATCTGTACGTAGGAACTGCCCTCCACCCACTGTGAAAAGAGTTTGCAGAGGATATACAGCAAATCTATTTGGTTCTAAGCAAAAGATGGGAGTTCAGCAAAGGCCTGGAGAAAATACCTGGAATATTGTTTGAGATTTTTTTCCCCTACTTCTCTAAGTTTAGAAATAAAATTTTTAAGACAATGCTGTACCACGTGATAGGAGGGAAGCTGGAGTAAGGGGCCAGGTTCACACTACTTTTTTCCAAAGCTCACTGCTTCCTAGCAAAACAATGCTTCGCAGTTGACTCTGGTAAATTGAGAACCACATGAAAGATAATGCTGCTACACCACAGAAAGAAGAGAAGTTAGACTTCTGTTAGCCAGTATTAGTGGAGTTTTAGTTTAGCTCCCTTTCTACTTAGGGACTAACTAGAAAGGCAGGAGATAGAAGAGTGAAGGATTAGCTGTATCTGTACAATAAATAACAGTCACTGCTGCTATTCTAATTGCCTGATTACTAGCAATCTTTTCAGTACTACATGATGAACGTTTTATACAAAGCATTAATGTTATAATAATATATGTTATATGTAATTTTTAAGAGATGAAAAGCATATTTCTTTCTGGAAAGAAGCATACAGTCAAAAAGAAAAGCTTGATTGCATGGCATGTTGAAGTTATTTGCTGTTTCCTAGCTTGTCTATTCCATTATCAGGCATGTTTTAAAAACGAGGCAGCTTCATAAATGTGAGTTGAGACAATGTCAATATCCTCAGTACTAAACCCTCAAGTTAAAAACACTAGCAATTCATTAAAAATCTATTACTCTACATCTAAAAGGGAAAAATAATCTCAACTGCTGCCTTGGTAAGTTTGCAATTTTCACAATAACCACTTGTTATAAACTGTCTAGGACTAAAATAAGGGATCCAGAATGCTCCGTACTGAGCACAGGATGGCTCCTCTGCTCTATGTACACAGCATTTCAAAGCATGGTGGGGACAGCGGAAGGTAGAAAAAGATGGAGGCACCAAGGTCTGTGTCAAACAAGATGCCTTTGCTCCCTCTTCCTGCATTCAGCAGTTGTTTCACCAAGGAGCTGCTGATATGCAGGTTCTACATTGGTGGATGATGTGAATGAAAGAGAGAGTACCAACATCTCTCTCACAAGTCCTACTGCATGGAGAGTGGCAGGGGATATTTTTTCTTTTTTTTTTTTTTCCAGTGTACAGAATATTTGAACGTTATTTTTAAGCATAATGTTCAAATTGTGTTAAAACTCTCACTGCTGGCTGATGAATCACTAAAATCACCACTCATGCCAGGGCACTTGACTTCTGCCTTTGGCACAGAACGCTGGTGCCGTACAGCACTGTAGCAATGGATGCCACTTTATCACTCCTTTCTTATTCCCATTCCTGCAGTGATATTTCTAAACTTGATCTTTTTCAACCAAAACAATGAGCATGTCAGGGAGTCCAGAAAGGATTTTCTAAACAAATTCTACCTTAGGAAAAGTAGTTCAGTGATACAACTAGCACAGCTGCATTAATTCCTAGGATAGTGACAAACTGAGACAAACAATATGTTTAACATTTAATTTTTGTGTTTAAGAAACAAAAGCTTTAGTTTGAATATAACCTGTAAGGAATAGATTTCAAGGTATGTAACCACCTAAAAGAGAAAAACTCCTATATTTATTGTATCTTCCTGAAAGAGAAAAACTCCTATATTTATTGCATCTTCCTGATGTATTAAGAGTCATTTTGTGTTTGATTTCTCTAATTTGAAGTTAACAATGGTGATTCTGCTTTTTGGGGGTTGGGTTGTTTGGCTTTGGTTTTTTACTTCAGTTGGGCATTTTTTACTTTAAGAGTCCTTTGTTAGCACAGTATCTCTGACTTCAGCAGAGTTAAATGAAGGATCTGGCCCTCAGTTTTACTTTTCTGCAGAATCTGTGGTTTTTGTTTCATGCTGTATGTAGGCTAACCCCTAGATGGAGACCTTATTGCAAATAAGACACACAGAGATCTGACTAGGCAGTGTATTACAATGTTCACCTTGCACAAACATGTAACTTTCTGAATTAATACACTTCCAGAAGTTACTTTTGATGAACTGAATACTGATTCTGACAGTTGTTTTTTCAAGTGTTAAATTCATTATCATAAACTGTAT